ATTAGTCATATCAATTGAGAGAGTACCTCAAGTCAGAGATGCTGTCATTGATCAGGATGTCGATCTGTCACCAAGTGACCAGTTATATTGTAAATGGAGAGGGTTTTTTCCTATATATGTGATTTTCTGCTCATGTCGTTACTTACTGCTCCCAAGCTCTATTGATCATTTGAGAGTGGGTGAGTGTTATCGGAAATCACTCTGTCATTTCCAAAAAGACAGCATAACGTTATCGTTTCAAAATGACAGTACGCAACGACGAAGTGCGACATCATCCAAAATCTCGAAAAATCCAATACTAAAAGTAAAGTATTGTACGGCCACTTGCATCAGTAAATACCCCATCAATGGCGCGAAAACGCGCTAGAATGGCCTGCGACGCCAGTCATTTTCAAAATTTTCGCTTCGATCAAGCAAGGCAGTACGCCCATGTTCTCGGCAACTCGACTCAACCTCCCAGCGCTCATGGCCATGCTGTGCCAGACGCTTGCCAAGGTCTCTATCGGGTGTCCATCGCGCGCTCCAAGCAGCGGCCCCGGCGGACGTTGTCGTCGAGTACGTGCAGTCCGACGTGGTGAAGTTCATGATAGCGGTAACGCTCGAGTCGGTGCTCGATCAAGGCGGTTCACTTCACGCCCGACGGACCGACATGTACTCTGCGCTGGCCGCTGACATGACCAAAACCGCGGACGACCTCGTGTCGCAATTTCCCGTAGTGCAGTGTACACATGTATGGATCAAGAAGGCTGCGTTCTGCACGTCGTTGACCAAGGACCAAGTCCACGGCATCGCAGCGATGGCGTCTGTCAAGAAGATCGACATGCCATTCACCGTGCGCCTGCACTCGACGCTGGATGGCGGCGTCGCAGTGCCCCAATACAAGAACGCACAGGCGAAAAATGTTGAAGCGGTTGGCATGAACGTCTCCCACGACTGTACAACTGTGCAATGGGGTGTAGACACCGTTGGCGCGCCAAACTTGTGGCGCCATGGCATCACAGGGCGCGGCGTTGTCGTGGGGTCCATTGACACCGGCGCGAACGCCGAACACGACGCGATCAAGCACAACTTTCGACGGCGCAAGGGGTGGTTCAACCCGTACGCGAAGGGCGGGTCGGACAACGAACTGCCCGTCGACTCGCACGTCCACGGGACCCACACGATCGGGACGATGGTCGGGGCCAACGGGATCGGCGTCGCTCCCGACGCGGAATGGATTGCATGCATGGGCATGAACAGCACTACGGGAAGCCAGCTCGCCCTCGTGCAATGCGCGCAGTTTATGATGTGCCCGACGCGACGGGACGGCACGCACCCCGAGTGCAAACTCGGTGCGGATGTTGTGAACAACAGCTGGGGCGACGACAGCAACGAGTACAACGGGTGGTTCGAAGACATCGTGGCGATTTGGCAGTTTGTTGGGATCACGCCAGTCTTCTCGGCGGGGAACAGTGGCCCCAAATGCGCCACCATGGGCAACCCGTCGCGGTACCCAAACGTCGTGGCCGTCGGGTCGTACGAGAACGACCCAACTCAGCTCGTGTTCTTCAGTTCGAAAGGTCCAGCGTTCAAGGCGGCGGCGATGACGAATTCCTTGCCATCAGCGGGATGGCGCGGCAAGACAGATGTCGTCGCCCCGGGCTTCTTCACCGTATCGGCTCATGCCAAGGACCCAGAGGGTTACATAGCCCTTGCGGGAACGTCGATGGCGTCGCCGCATGTCGCGGGTGTCATCGCGCTCTTGAAAGGCAAGCTAAATGACCTGACGTACGAGGAGATTTTCGGCCTCTTGACCACGACAGCTGATCGCGACATGCTTCAGCCAGAGCCGCAGGAATGGAAGTTGAAAAACGGCACGGTGATCGGTCATGGGGCGGTCAACTGCGGCGACGCGCCGGACAATGCATGGCCAAATCACCGGTACGGATTTGGTCGCGTGAATGCAGCCAACATGGTCGACTCGGACGGGAACCTGAAGCTCAATGATGGCGGCAGGAGTCCGACCCCCGCACCGACGGTCACACATGAACCTGCTCCCACCACCACACCGTCAAAAACTCGAGTGTGCACGGCGCCGGAATTGAACGTCGACATCCCTGGACAGGACATCTACGGCGTCGAGGCGGCCGATTCGGCCGACTGTTGCGGGCTTTGCCTGGAACTTGAGGCATGTGTGGGGTACTCCCACCGCGAAGGCGTGTGTTTCCTCAAGGGAACAATTGGCGAACGCATGGCTAAGGACGGCGCGATATCGGCCCAAGCGGTTGAGTAAGCCTTCACCCCGGACATGTCTCCTCTAGAGCGAGATCTTCGTCTTTCCAATCAATCACAAGATTGAAATGTTCGCTTTACTCAACATGCGGGTGCTCGTTGCTACATGCCATGTTCCGTGCGCCGAATTCTCCGATGTGGTTGTGTCCGTATGGCAACGCCGCAACAAATCACATGCATCGCTAGCAACGGACCAACTCTCACCACGCGGCATGCATAGCAATCTTTCCCACCCCCCGCATGGGACTAGGCTGCACAGGGCTCACACATCAACTCTCCCACGCACGTTTTGGATTCGGCTTACCTGCATCTCGAGCATGTGAAGAATTGATATGTTGGACACTGCTCATGCAAAACGTCTGAAACATTTATGAAAAAATTGCAAAAATCTCACAGGTTTTGAAGAGCTATTTTGGAAAATAAGTACCTCAGTATATTGCATTTTCGACAAAGGGGGAATTTCATAATACGTTTGCACCATTCCATAAAGTACTCCATTGTTGCCGCGCGCAATGGACGTTCCGGCGCTGGTGGATGCGCTCGTGACGAGTCTTCATGGAAGTCCGAATGTGTCCCTGATGTCTCTATCTCTGCGTATTCTCTCTTCCAGGTACGGGAACGCGCATGACGTGGAGTATCGCGCAAACGACATGGTGCGTTCAACTCGAAGCTTCATCGTCGTCATGTTGACGGGCCATCCTGTGTTTTCTTGTGGGACGATGTAGATGGGAGTGACACAGAAGATTATACGACACCTCAAGGAGTCTTCTATCGGATACGACCCAAAGCTGGCGGTGCAGCGCTTCGAATCGCTGAACCAGGACTTTATCACGCACGGAATGCTCCACAGGAAGGCCGCATTGTTGACGGTGCTCTTGAGACTGAGCTTGGATACGGACTCGACGACATTGTACGTACCGCCTCTCCCTGCGATGAAGTTAGGGCAACCCGTCAAGACAGTACGTCAACATGATCGTCCCACATGATCGTAATCCTCACCTGCAGGACCCCACCTCGACATCCACTCCACACAATGCTCCATATCCGTCCGATCCTTCGATGCCGTCGCGCCCATCTACTTCTTCTTGGCATGACAAGCACATGCAACAAGAATCGTATCGCGCAGCCGTCCGCAAACACGACACAGGCGCCGCCATCGACATTCCTGAAGCCGTCCTGCTCCAAGAAGTGCTGTATGCGTTCCAAGGCATCGACTCGAAGTACATCTTTTACAATCCATCAATTGATCGATTTGAAGTGGCGCGGCATGTCGGCGTGTCTCTTCGTACGTGATCTTCTTCCTCGTTTCATCTCCATCACGCCTGACGTAGCCATGCGAGATCTCATTCGTAAGCTCACGGAAGTCGGATGGCTGTACAACCGCATCCAGCAATTCTTGGCGCGATCCGCCATGTCGTCGGACGGAGTCGTCATTCAGAGCTTTCACCACGCGCTGAAAGCCGAGTTGAGCGATTTTTACCGCCTCATCGCCATCCTCAGTGCTCAAGTTGACCTGGACGCCGGCAAGTATCCGTTGCCAGAGTCTGCAGGCGTCCCCGACTTGACCCTCAAACGCCTGATCGTGTGGACACAGGATCCACTGGACCGCCTACGAGTCATGGCGGCGCTTGTCGACAGGTGCGGACCTTCCGGGCTTTCAAGACTGTTCACTGGCATCACGGTGCTATATTTGCCCGATATGAATGTGTTTTGTCGTTTGTGTTGTTGATGGAGACGGCACTGGTTACATGGCGTGCGTGCTCTTTGAATGCGCTACGGATTGAAATGTGTGTCTTGAAACATGACCTGACTATGTTTTTCGTGATGGTTTTTGTCATGGAATCCCCATTTGAATGCACGAGATGGCCGTGTTTGCGTTCAAAGGAGGTGGACAACGCTGGGTTGGTTCACTCTGCAAGGCGCATCACCTGTAATGGGGCTTTGGACTGGCGACGTCGGCAGAGTAAGGTCCCTCCTTGACCATGCAAGTTCTGGAATAGCGTGGATGGCCTGGTCGGAGGGGCGTTGGCTTCGGGAATTTACCTGTACATGGAGCATGGCGACCCGTTTGTGCGGCAATTCATAGCGACCATCCTGAACCAAGTCGCGACGCCGCTCCTCAACATGATTCAGAAGTGGACTCTGGAAGGAATGTTAGATGACACCTACGTACGTCGTCGTCGAGAAAGGCATGGAGGATTTGAAACCCACTATGATGTTGTAGGAAGAGTTTTTTGTTGCGTGTGACGCCACCGTCGACGATGACTTCTTGTGGAGTCAAAAGTACTCGCTGCGATGGTCCATGTTGCCTCAGTTCATCCCCAGGTACAACACGTCGACGACGGCGTTGCTAGAAATCCTTAAAATGGCGGCCCTGCCATGCGCAGAGACGTTGCCAACACGATCTTCGTGATGGGCAAGAGTATCAACTTTATTCGAACATGCTGCGGGGATTCGGAGGTACGAGCCTTCTGCACGACGATGGCTCACCTACGCCAGCAACAACCCTCTACGATGTATTGAATCGTGGCTTAGTGGACTCTCGACACGCAGCTGCGCACGTCCAACCTCACATTTGATCACTGGTTCGAATACATCGCTTTCGTCCACACGACAACAGGCGTGCGTCTCAAACGTGGTCATGCCATCGGTAGGATGGAATTCCAGCAGTGGATCACTGCCGCTGCGAAAGAAACGAACAATTATGTGACACAACTTTTGCTGAACAAGCACCAATTGCTCGAACACTGCCGAGCACTGAAGCAGTACTTGTTGCTGGGCCAAGTACGGAGAGGACTGTCGTCGACAGAGACGATCACGCGTGTGCATAGGGAGACTTTATCCAGTACCTGATGGATCTCCTTCAACCCGAGCTGTCCAAGCGAGCGACTCAAATCTACCGACACAACCTCATGAGCGTCCTGGAAACGGCTTTGAATGCATCAAATGCCAAATTCGAGGTACGTTCTTCGCGTGTGGTTGGACAGGACGTGCCTCCTCTCACCTAGACGAGCGACATTTTGAGCCGCTTGGACGTGAAGCTCCATCAAGCCTCTTCAGGTAGTTCGACTGCTGGCAACACAATCACGAATTGGGGGACTCGGCGTAGGCGAAGAAGGGTGGGATGTGTTTGCACTCCACTACAAGCTCCAAGCGCCACTCAACACGGTGATCCCTGACGCGTCCATGTCCGAGTACTTGCGAATGTTTTCGTTTCTGTTCAAAGTCAAGCGCGTCGAATACTCGTTGAGCACGTGCTGGGGACGCGACATGAACTTGGTCCACTTGATCAGCGTACGCACACTCTATCGTTCGATCGACGCGGACACGCGTTGTGTAGAAAAAACTGCCGCATGCGTGGGCAGTGCTGCATCAAGGCAACCTCCTACGCTCCGAAATGATCCACTTTACAACCAACTTGCACAACTACATGATGTTTGAAGTCCTCGACGGGTCGTGGCACTCGTTCGTGCACGACGTGCAGTGCGCGACCCACTTGGACGGGCTCATCGACGCCCACTCGGCCTACTTGCAACGGATCCAGTCCAACGTACGGCATGCCACGGATGATGGTGATGATCTTGGACGACTGATGCATCTTGTGTGTAGGCGTTTATGTTGGACGAAAACCAAAACCTCGTCGTTGCGTTGAAAGGCATCTTCGAAACCATCCTCAAATTCTCCAAAGTGCAGGAAGCTATTTACACGACCGCCGTGCGCGAAGGACAGCTCTACGATCGCCAAGAACGCATGAGCCAGGTTTATTCCTCGTTGCGAATGTGTGGACACTGTCGCATTCGGTCGTAGACGACGTGGGGAATTACAGACGACCAGCCCCGCGCAAAGTCAGCGCTGGACGGGTCTGGCGCGCTGGTCAAGCAAATGCAAACGATTGCCACCGATTACCACGCACAAATCGTAGCGTTTCTCGACCTGCTGAAGCAACAGGCGCTCGGGTCGGACAACTTGCCGTATCTCACGTTTCGGCTCGACTTCAACGAGTACTACCGGAAATCCACGTCGGCAAGTGACCCCAGAGTGTAAAATGCAACCTTCCTTGCCTGCCATGCGGTCACCCTTCCAAATGTCTCGCTGCTTCCGAACCTCAGCTGCGAAAGGACGCGTCGTTGGCCATGGGGGCGACCGCGTAAGTCGACCGACGGCTACGTGCCCGCTGTCGGAGGAATCCATTCGCCAATCAAATTCGCAGACGTTACTATTTCAACCAATCAAAATGGACAAACGTTTCGATCGCTCGTTTTTAAATAGGGTGGTTTCGACAGCGCCGACGCGATGACGACGCCGGTTCACCTCTTGCCAAGGGGGACCTCATGGGGGGAGGACTTGCAAATCTACAAGGTACCTTTGTGTGCGTGCATGTGGCGTATGTCCAGTTGAGGCGTGTGGCGAGCCCACGTGCATCGCAGTGGATGCTAAGCTGTGCTTCAGGCGTCGAAAGCCATTCTCCCGTGGCGGCCAGACCAACAACATCCTGTGCGTCACATCACTCGATATGAAAAGTCTCGCGAAGAGCGCGAGTACGACTTGATTCAAGCGCAGTACCGCGACGTGCAGCGGGTGTTGACACTTATGGCGCTGCTGTGTTGTCTCATGGGGACCATAGGAAGCGGCTACAAAAGACCGGGAAATCAAAGCCCGCATGCAAGCCCTTGCCGATGCCAAAGTGAGTAGGACCCCGACGTCGCCGACCCCACCCAACGACACGTAGGCAAAACAAAGCCGCTACGTCCAAAAGTTCAACTTGATCAACCACCACACGGCCGAAGTCGAGCCGGTCGAGTCCGCGCTCCGTCCCCCCAACACACGCGCGCCATACAACATTGTGAACCACCAGGACTTGGACGTCCCGCCCGTTCAAATTGCTCCGTCCGACGGTCTCGGAAAGAAGATGGTCGACAGCCAACACCTCGGGCGACCGTTTAACGTGATCAGCAACAAGTGAGCCACATGATCTTTCCACTCTGCTCGGCCCAAACAAGTTGATGGAATGCATATGCCGCTTAGGTACCACACCAACCACGACGCGAGATCGCAAGCAGACGCGGCGCGGCTGCACGAGCACGCGATTGCAAAGTTCAACAAAACACATGACTTCAACCCACTCCTCGTGCGGTACTACGACTCGACCAAAGAAATGGCGTTCGTGGAGGCCCGTGCGGCCAAAGAAAGGGTCCACGGCATCGACCGCGACGACAAACTGCCCCACGGCGAGCAGTTTAGTGCAGGCAAGCTGTACAACATCCTCAACCACGAGATCCTCCGGCCAGAGAAATACGAAGCCGTCACGAATGTCGGGAATCGACGGCTCCACTGCATGAAGTCGACGGTACGTTCTACCGTCGATTCGTTCGTGTATCGAGTTGCTGGCAATCGGTGCTGCTGTGCAATGGACTCACGGACAGCGATGGTGTAGCAAATGAACAAGGCCATTCGGGCACGGGCCGAGGCACTGGAAGACGCGATGCACGAACGAGCACTCAATCGCATTGCCCATGAACGGAACGCCCAAGCCTACGTCCATGGGTAATGTTTCCCCGCGCATGGCGTGCATGACGACCATCGTGGCCTCGGTAGATTCGACCCCGTGACCAACCAACCATTTGAAGGACGTCTGCGGAAACCCAAAGTGCCTCTTCGAACCCACGTGAAACCAACGGCATGGGGTCGTGTGGACCATCCATCTAGTATACACGATCTTCTGGCCGTGGCTAGGGACCGACGTCGCTTGGTAGGGCCGACAATGAGCAACCAGACACTCGACAGAGTCCTGCCTGCGTTGGCATCGCCATCACACGCAGCGCCGCCCCATGGAGGCATGCTGTCGCCGATCCAACCCGAGATTTTGTTTATAAGCCACGACGAGCGTGTGGACCCGGAACGAGCCAAGGTATTTGCGTCCCCCATGACCAAATCACGTTAACATCGATCTCCCCTCTTCTTCACGGAGTTGTACGACATGTTGGGCAACCACGGCAGATGCGCAGCCGTAGTGTGTGGGGGGGTGCATGGTCCATGGGTAAGGGACAGTTGGGGCCAGTTGGCATGTGTTCGAGCGAGCGGCCACGATCTACCGGACGCGTTGGGGGTCTCAAGGCCAACGATTGCACGATTTTGGCCAACGTGCACAGCGTCGCCGGGATGGTGCCGCCCCGTGACGATGTCGATCGAGTTGCGGGTGGCGCAGTGCCAAGTGTATGTAGCGTCCACACAGTGTCAACAACCCGCCGCGACCACTTCCTTCCGCGCGCGCCTCACGTACATGTTGCAACATCCGCACGCCCAGCACGTTTTGCCACAAACATGTACTTCAATTTATTCAACGACGATAGCCATTTCTACACTTGCTGGGAGGTCACGTCCGCGATCGCGTCCCAGTCTGCGTGCAGCAGCCAGTACATGCCGTAGATGGCGCAGAGGCAAAAGCCTCCGGACACGCCAAGCCATAGCCCAACGATGCCCCACATCTTGGACAAGCTCCATGCGAGTGGAAACCCGACAACGACAAACGCGAGGATGTTTGCGATAGCTCCTTGATGCGGCTTGCCGCTGCCTCGAAACGTGCCTTGGACTGCGCCCCAGATGCCCATCATGACTTGGAACGGCGCGGTCACGTAAAAGAGCGTCGTCGCGTCGGCTAGGACGTCGGGATCTTGTGTGTACAGTGTGGCGTAGAGTGGACCGATGACAACCATGGCCAAGGTCGAGATGCCTGCCCACACCAAGCTGATCTTGACCGTTTGCCATGCCGCGAATTCGGCGCGCACGGGGAGGTTGCCCCCGAGGGCGTTGCCAACCCGCACCGAGCTACAACGTGCGTGTCAGTCATATATCAAAGACGGCGTCGCGTTGGCATATCAAGATGTCCAAGACAAGGGACAGATCTCGATGGATTCGACGCCCATGTACACAATGCAACAAGGACGGCACCCCACGTACCTGGTGAACCCAATCCCAAGGTAAACCATGCCAAAGAGCGATCGAAACCCCGAATAGATTGTGTTGGCGCTCAGCGCCGTGCCAGCATTTGGCAGCGACCCGGCCATGAACGACGTGCCGGCAATGCCGGCAAACTCGCTCAGAAACATAATCCAACCGTTGAAGCTACAACAGGCCATGTCAGTCGCATCCACGAGCCATGCCGAAGTTAACCGTGGATGTGTACCTCAAGCACAAGAAGGCAGGGACTTTGGCGCGCGCGGCCTCCCAGTCATAGTGCATGTTCTTCGTGTGCAACTACTCGAACAGGTCAGTGCAGCCATCGGCGACGACATCCGCGCTGCAACCAGGCAAGTCGACAGCATGCACAGGAAACAGATAAACGCACCAGCTGAAAAAGAAGGACGGGCGTCACCGTATAGAACCCCATCATGCCCATCGTACCGCCAATGTAGCCCTACATAACGCGGACATGAGTGAGCCGTCGACTGGCCCCAACACGTCGTAGCAGCCCTCGACAGCAAGTACGTGGGAGCGGACCTCACACACTCGCGTACCAGGCCCGTGTAAAACACAAGAACGTAGCCCAGCGTCAGCGCGACAGCGACGCCTGCTGCAATGGAACCCACGATGGGCCACACAATGTTCTGGCCCTGGAGCACGCGTTTAAAGAATTCGTACGCAAACACAAGGGGAATCCCGAGCATGAACCACCGCAGCAAGACTTGGGTCGCGATTGCAATCTACGAAAGCGACGTGAACAATGCGATTGCCTTCTCGACGTACCCACCTCGTCTGGCTGCCCCCACGCGTGCAGAATGAACCCCGAAAAGTACAGCACCAACGCCAGCGGCACACAGAGCGCCCCCGCGCACAACGCCGCCGTCTGCAACACGACACCAAGCTCAGCCCCACGACCTTTGCCATGCGCTTGGGCAGTCAATGCATCCATGGCCGTACTAAACCCAATGATCACGCTATACGCCGTCGTGGTAAAGTAGAGCGAGCAAAGCCCACTTGCACCCAACACGACGCGGCTTTCACTTTCGTCCAGAGCTACAGGTTGGCATGACGTTTTTCCGCAATCTCCTCGACGACACGGCGTACCCAGGTGACCGATATACATGTTGAGGATGGGCTGAGGCAAGTACTCTAGAATTTGGAGCATCACGAGCGGGATCGTAATGACGAGGACATGGCGCCATTCGTCTGTGGATATAGGCGGCGGCGACAGCAGCGGCTGGAACTCTTTCGGCATGGCGGGTTTCAGTGGCGGCGGCGACCAGACAGAGCGTCGATGTGGAGTTACCTTGCAGTTTGATTGGTGGAAGATGTGGAATAGATGAAATAAGCCAATCAAAATGGGTGTACGCTTGTCTTTTGTCCAGTCATACACGAGAATTTTCTCCATGCTCGTGACGAGCTCAATCCGTGCGTTAACTCGGGACTGCGTCGCGACGCAGTGAAATCCTGACGTTGGCAAGGGCATCACGGGCGCCGCAACGTCTGGGTCGCCTATCTTTGGGGGCATCGACAAGAATGCCATTTCTTCGGACACTTGCGCCAGTTGCGACGAAAGAGGATGCAACGCTGGCATGCAGTTTGAATTCATCAAGCACTTGAACGTCGAGGTACACTGCTTGACGTTTGTCGACAGCTTCGAGTGAACTCAGTGCTGTTTGCGTCTCTCAAAAGGTGTGCTTTGCCGGCCAGGGCTTTACATGTATCCTGCGTGCGGGATGGAAATCGAGCACTTCCATCGCCTTCACGACCGCGCCAATTCTTGAAGCTGGTGAGGTTCATGAGATTGCGTGAGGGTCCCCGAGACGGCCAAGTCACGAGGTGTACCCTTGGCAGTCATCGTGCAAAGGACTCACAACGTCGACTCCAAGGGGGACAGTGCCAAAACACTTGCAAAGGCACGCGACCACGCGTTTCGGGGATGTAACTCGACCATTGGTGTCGTTGGCTGGGGAATAAAGAACTGGACCGCCAAATTCAGCGCAAGGAAGTCCACAAAGACGGCGACCCCCGTTCGACGTGCATGGGGTTCCCTACGCTCGCCAAGTGTCTTGTACTTCGTGGCCTATTCATCTGGAAGCGCTCCGACCTCGCCGCCGGCAGTGAAGCTGGAAACAGCCAAGTCAATGCGACATGGCTGGTGCAAATTGAGCTCGTGTCGTCGCTGGCAGTCGATGCCATCGAGCACGTGGCCAGTGGCGTGTCGACCCTGATGGCATATCAACCTCGAAACCCCGAAACCTCGAAACCCCGACATCCCGTCGTGTTAAACCAGTAAAAACGGTTTTAAACGTTTGAACGCTGTCGAAACCCATTGAGAATCGCAGTAAAAACGGTTTTAAGGATTTTAACGCACACTCTACGGACACATGCTCAAGATGAGGCGGGTGTGGGGCGGCGGCGTCCGTGGACAGATGCCGAGCCATCGCCGGCATTTCTTTGACAAAGTTGGACGCGACTGGGAGAAGGCATGGAGCGAGAAAGTGACGCCATGGGAGCTCAAGGGAGTGAACCCTTCGTTTGTGGAAGGTCTGGCGAAGCTGTCTCCCCCGTCATCTACTGCGAACCGCCGCACGGCGCTTGTGCCAGGATGCGGATCGGGGTTTGATCTGTTGCACTTGCATTCTCAAGGCTGGGAGCCTACAGGATTGGACATTTCGGCGAAAGCCATCGATATTGCACGAGCGAACGTCGGACGCGATGCCGACGCGATTTCGCTCGTCCACGGCGACTTTTTTGCCACGAGCGCCACTTCTCCCCTTGAACTGGCCTCGTTTGACCTGATCTACGACTACCTCTTCTTTGCTGCAATTGAACCCGATATGCGAGCTGCTTGCGCCGCGCAATTCCATGCGCTCCTTCGACCCGATACCGGTCGACTTCTCACGCTGCTCTTTCCCTTGGCATTGCCGCCGTCGTCCACGTCCCCTTTGTCATCCAACACTGATGGCCCACCATACGTGCTGTCACTGGATGACTACCGCCGCATTTTGGAGCCAGCGGGCCTCGTTCTTGAAGCCACGCATGCCCCTACCCGATCGATCAAACCACGTCGAGGCCGAGAGCTACTTGCAGTCTGGTCACGTCGAGCAGCCAACTAACTAGCAGACTCATTACTTGACCCTTTTACACTATCCATAGCACGTGGTACAAGTGCATCATGCCCCCCGCACATAACGCTGAGTGAGCAAGCTGAC